TGATATTTAAGTTTTTTAGCTTTGTCAAGGATTAATTGAAACATCATTTGGCTAGTAATGTAGTTGTGGGACCACGTTACATATTGGGTGAATAAGGCAAGATGCTTATGTCATGTGAATGAGTATGCTATGAAGACACATCTAGTTAATCATGGATGCATGAATGATCCTACACGGACAAGGCACTGACGAAGGGCATCACAATACTTATAAGCTAAAATACTCATAGAAAGTGATGATCACAAGAATTGTACTGTGGGGCATATGAATGACCCTCAATGCTTCGAATAAAGCTAAATAGCTCTTTTCCACCAAGTATGTTGGAAAGGATTGTATGTTAAACATGAGCATGCGTGCAAGCTAGCCAATTTGGATCCAATCACGGACAGACCCACACGCGGTCATGTGGGGTCAGCCCGCCAGCCCACATCTCGCAAGCCCAAAGTTGCACTATCTCCATAATCCATTTATCCATTTACCCAACTTCTGCGACTTCTAATATTCCTGGACCTGTCTCTTCTCTTTCCCTCTCTTCTCCTCACGGCACAAATAAATAAAAACCCTCCTACGCCCCCGCTAACGGTTATTGCTCAGTGCACGCGCCCTGTTGCTCAATCCCTGAGCTTGACTCCTCCATAAAAAAGTTTTGTACCAGTAGTATAAAATATAGATACGTCGTGATTTGTGAAAATGTCGAAATGTATATGTGGGTTTGGATATGATTTTTTAAAATTTTGTTTCTATATTGACCGAGTGAGTCCCGTTCTGGAACATGGGTTTGGATTTGATTTTTTGCAATTTGGTATGGATCCGATTCTTCTAAAATAGTTTTGGTCGTTCGGATTCGATTTGTTGAAATGAAATGGTGTTTGAAATTGGGAACAATCAATTGATTATTGATGCATAGTAGATATGTATGTCTAAAATTGAAGAATTGGAAATATTGGATTAAAATATTAGCTGATCAGGTATGGAACTGATTTTTTGGAATTTGTTATGGAACCGATTATTGACTGGGAACAATCAATCCCTATACAATAAAAGAGACAGTTTTGAAAACACTGTTCACACTTTCGTCCGATTAAACGCCGTCGTTTTGGTTTTTTTTTTCTTCTTCTTCTTCTTCAGTTGATGCTGGCTTTTGCTCTGCCTCGCTTCATACGTGCTCCACACCAAACCAAACCTCTGCCCCCTTCGCTCTCTTCCAAATGAAATGGCTCCGGCCACAATTTGTTGGCAACGTAAATCAGCCGCTGTTGCACAGCCGCCACCAGCGAAGGAGTCACCT